ATTGTTTGATCACACTTTCCTGTGTGCAAATGATCATTTCCTTGAAAGTTCATCATTCGAAGTGCCACTGTTCATTATGTTCTAAAGATTTTTATTTAAAGAAAAACCCTTTTCTTTCTGTTGCCAAGTTCTGTTAATAGTAAAGCAATATTTTTGCAATTCAAGGTCTTATTTAATTTACCTACACACCTAGCTGATGAAATCTTAATGCTGAAGAGTTTGGGGGTTTTGTCTCCTAGTGACCTCTATGTCCTAGAGAAGAATTCCCTGAAAAGTCATGTTTGTTTCAGTGCAGAGTGGTGGTAAACTATAGGGGATTTCATTTGATTGATTAATTTTTAAGGTAGTACTGTGAAGATCTGCAATCTCAAGGACTGGAGCCTTGTAAATATTTAAGTTTTAAACTACATGCTGGCTTTTGACTACGAAAATACCTGAAGATTTTTGGATAATCAGTATTTTTGTGTGTTTCTGAAATATGCTGGGAGATGTGACATCAACCTATACAAATCCTGCTTCTGGTCACTAGTGGACACCAGTCTGCTCCCAAAAGGCTGCACAATTTTAGGTCATTGACCAGAAGTAGTTTTAGATATGTTATCAGCTGGAATTCAGATTATTTATTAACTTGAGAGAGAGTCGATGATTTTTGTTAATACTGTGCTAGGAGCTAATTGGTATTGTTGTCCTTGATTTTGTAGGCAACAAAATTCACACATATTAGGGAAAAAAACCTGTTTTAAGGTATGTGATAATAACATCAGTTTACTTGGTGTGTGTTTATTTACAAGTAGAAACAGTATATGAGTTACTTAACACTTGGCGTGCTATGAAATACTACATGGAATGCTAGCAATAAACTGGCACCATATTGCCAGGACTGTGAAAACTGGTGTTTTAAGAGAGAATATATTGTAATATGCCACTAGCTCGAAGTGCTGTAGTGTAGTTGCAAGAAAATAGAATGTGGAAATGTTTCCTGTAAGTGTACATGATTACATTCAGGACTTCTGGTTGTACTTTCTGATTTAGCATTAATGTTGTAATACATCTACATTTATTCTGCTCTAAAATTCTTGGCTAATTGACAAAGATCTTTTTAAGTGAAAAATCGAAGAGGTACTTGATATTTGTAGGCATGGGAAAGCAGTTACTTTTTTTTCTTGTTAGAATATTTATTTCTCTTTCCAGTATTTTTGCACACTTTGTGTTGCTGTTGAAGAGCTCTTCAAAATGTTCTCTGTTTATGAATGTAAGCTAGGGTTTAATGTATGACACCCTATTTATATAAATGCAGGCAATAAAAACTTTTGCTTTTTGGAAATGAGTATCTGTAAGTGTCAAGGATGTTTTTATTCCTCGGTAGTAACAATGTTTAGCAATTTTTCCTGATAAATTCCATGTGCAGGTGAATGCAACTATTAACTTACAATGTCTCATTTTCTCATGTAAAGAAAACTCATAACATTTTCAACTTGACTATACCTGTTTGTGTCAAATTCTATCGTTTCATTAAATTAGATGCTTACTTTGATACTCAGCATGTCTTTGAAATGTTTTGGATTATGAACGTGTGCATATTCCAGCACGGTATAACTATCAGTTTTGGCTGCTGTAATTGGTAAGCAGGCTTTCAGGCCAGTAATTACACTTATTTGCAAGATTTACAGAGAGGTGTATGTTTTTTAATGATCAGACTTTTTTCCTTCTTTTGCTTTTAAATTAATAAAGCTGTGATTTAGGGGGTGATTTGTCATCTTCTAACAAAAAATATAGCTACAGACATTTTATTAGCTGCAGTTACTGTTTTCTGATATCTGCTCGACTGTGATAGAGTAAACTAGATGAGGTGGCCTTTGCATGCTAAAATGTTTTGATGTCATGGTTCATGCTGATTGCATTTCATTATTTTCATTTTATGCTCCATCCTTGCCTCCCTTCCCCAATTAAGCACAAGCACTTTCTCATCGTATGCACAGGCTGCTTGCACACAAGCACGAGTTGTGCGTGTGTCCACGCCCAGCAGAGCAGGTCTGGTGATGGTGACCAGGCTCAGAGTCCAGCAATGGCCAGAGAAGTCTGCAGTGACACCCCTGACAAGGCTTCTCCCAGCCCTGCATGTTTAGCCCTAGGTCCTGCACGGTACTGCACTGCACAGCTGCATTCTGGTGGCCTCCCTCGGGATTCCCTCTAGACCTGAGTTTCCCCAAAAGAATTTGCCAGATTTTAGCCTGTTCCTCCATTTCAGACTCATGGACTGCTTGCTGTATCTTAACCAACTGGGATGTAAACTCATTCCCCCTCTGGGCTGTCACAGCAGAGAGAAGTCACAGTAGCTTGCTGGCCCACAAGGAGCACTGCTCCCAGCTTTCTTACCTGGGAGTTCTTCTGCCCCACTGCTATGGGACTTCAGGAGTGACTCTTAAACACCGAGTGATGATTTTCATGTCCACCAGCCTCGCCAAGGAGAGGTTTGGCTGGAGAAAGCGGGGGCAACTGGGTTGCAGCATGGCCCTTGTTACAGGGTCAATCTCGTGACTCCATACAAAGGCCTGAGATTCTTTCAGAGATTCCTTCATCCGTGTGTAGGTTCCCTAAATAAAACCCTCAGTCACCTGTACAGTTACCTGTTAGTAACCCTCAGTTACGTAGGTTCCCTAAATAAAACCCTCAGTCACCTCTGTTCAGTAATTTTTATTTGAAGCTTAGGCAGCTGGACAGCTGAAACAGTGATGGTTTAAGCATTGTTCCTAAAACATAGCTTTCCAACTTCAAAACAGAATTGAAATAGTAAAGACGAGACCACCTAGCAGCCCCTGCAACAAGGCAGGCAGCCTGAAGCTGCCTCTTGTTTTTGGAGTGCTTAGTGACCAGCTTCTGCTAAAGCCTAACCTCCACTGCAGCCAAGGGAGCCCGGTTTGGGACCTGCTCAATCCCCTCTCGACCTTTCCAACAGCTATTTGCCCAATCCATGCCTCCCCGTGCCTCTGGCAGATGCCCCTTTGTCCTGTCACACTCAGTGGGTAAGGAAAGGTGAGATTTTTCGATTTTTCGATTCTCCGCGCGGTATCCAGCAGTCATGACAACGACCCAGGAGGTTCGACTGAAAACGAAGCTTTATTTGGGATTCAACAAAATTACAAAAGACTGTAACGCTGAATGACTTTACTTTCAACTCAGTGGGGTTACAACGGATATTGACTTGGCAAAACTTAGGACGATGTAATGTCTGATGTCACAAAATTACAAAACAGCAGATTGACAGACTTACAACAACATTACCCTTATGTGCCTATCAATCAACTCAGAGAGAGAGAGAGAAATGAGAAGAAAAGGAGATAAAGGATATCACCACCCTTGGATCCAGCAGCAGCCTCGGTGGGTAGTCGAGGTCCTCTGGTGGTGGGTGTGCAGTGAGATACTTGCTCATTCCCCTTTTGTATCCTTTGGGATATATATGTCGTCCCTCCTCAGAGCGAAAACCCCTCCACCTTGTTAGTGCAGTCCTACCTGATGGTTAGCAGTCCCCTGGTTATTCCTTTCCCTGGAGCATCTGGAATGGCTGGCAGTTTCGACATTGCTATCCTGGTAAACGCATCTGTGACCTGAGTGTTACTTTAGCATCAAGAATATTTTACAGTTCCTTGCGTTCAGGGCAGGCCATTTTTTCACAAAACTTGATACAGTCTAGAGGAACGGACAAATGAGAATCACATTAGCAGAAACTTTCAGTTGTATTCTGCTCACCACGTACCATCGCTGTGGGACTGGATGAACGAGAGGTGCCCTGATTTACCAAGGGGAACTGCCACATTTACCGCTCAGATGGCGTTTGGATATTTCACGCAGGACCATGTACCCAAGGGTGGTCTCTGTATGGGGTGAAGTGCTATAGCCACCTGGTGGCAGACTGTTTTATCGGGCCCAGATAGTCTTGGTAACCAAGAACTATTTGCATGTAACGTTTTACATAAATTGCCTTTAAAGCAAAGAAACTCCTTGACTGAAAACGGAGACGTCTATAAATAAGCACAAAGCTAGCAATCTCAACAAGGCACCAGACCTAGCCCTTGAACCTGGCACCCCTTTGCATGAAGGGCTGCTGAACACAAATGTAACCAGGGTTTATTTAAAATGCTTCGAAATATTTTATTTATTCACAGAGAATATTTTCAAAGTTAGATTTTCCTTTAATTGTGTTCCCTTAAGAGATACAAGAATTCTGCTATGTGCTGTACATAGCCTGGATAGTAACAAAATTGGGAAGTGCATGGAAGTTTATATGGTTAAAGTCATCGTGACATGCTGGCTGTATCCTGGTACTTCTGCTTAGACTCCTACCAAGAATGAAGGTGGTGAAGGGAACTCAACAGTGGTTGAAATCACCAAACCTAACTACGGCAAGGACTCTGTACTCCATTCTGTTAAAATTAAATCACCTATATCTGGTAAAATAGAACAGGAGTCACCATATATCCCTAAAAATAGCACTCCAACACATACTGACACAAACAGTTAAATGTAGTCAGGTATTTTTTATTGGAGAAGAGATCATTTTCAAGATGCAAAATACCCTCCCCATATTCAATAAATGTATATCAAAGCAAATGAAATAAAAAAATGAAAATCTTTACATTAAAACCCCACCAAATGTCTTCAAGTCTCCTGTACATTATCCCAGAACCTCTACCACCAACAACAAAAAGATGCTTACAAAACTTCAGGTTCTAGCAAGTCCAATCCTGTAATAGAACACTCCTCATAGATGTAAAAGGGTTAAACATATACAGACAGTGAGATAGTCACAGAAGAAGCGTTCTCTTTGCTGCATAAATTAATTTTCAAAGAAAACATTCTCCACTGGCCATACATGGCACATGCAGCAGCATCTTTTCAGTGTATTTGTTGGAAATGCATTAACGCAACTGTTCATGTGCCGCCAGGCCAGAAAGCTACGGTAATGTTGTCTCCTCTGAAGCTCTAAATATATGTAAGAAAAATCAGTTGTTCTTGTCGGTGCCAAATGGGAAGTAGTCACGAAATTCGTGAATAATTTTTAGTGCTTCATTGTAGAGTTCCAGATCTGAAACAGGGCAAAGAAAATGGTTATGATGCATAAGCTAAATTCCCCACAAGGAAATGAGAACATTAAAGCACTGTGGATTTTAAAGCAGTATAGCTGAGCGTTCCCAGGTCCCCCTCATCCTTCCTCATTTTTGCAAGGCAACCATGCTCTCACAGCTTGTTTTCTGGAGGATTACTTTTAGGCCTGCACAATCACAGAAGGTCCAGAGCAAGGCAAGAATCACACGGTCAGGAGTAGAAGAACAATCAGACATGGCTACGATCTAGACTGGCTCCAGCTTCAAGTCAGTCCCTGCAGTTTGACAGTAAACCAGCATATTTTGTACATAATTCTTGCCATGACACTCTTTTTCTATATTTGACTCCAGATCTGGCAGATTGAAGACAGACCTTACCTGTATGAAAAGATAATCAGGCTCTCTCTTCTTACATATCGAAGAAGAGTTCAGAACACAAAATGAATTTGTCATCATGTATATTCTTACTTACCAAACGGACTTTTATCTTCTCTGAACTGGACGTATGACATGCACATGATGGTTGCCTGATGTGTTACTCTGCCCACTACTTCAATAACTCCTGAGATCTCTTCATCTAGCTAGAAAACATACCAAAACGAAACAAGTATTACCAAATTAGCTGCTGTCTCTACTGCACGGCACTTGAGCTAGGAACTCTTCACAGCTGAAGGTTTGTTCATGACAACAGATTTTGTTCCATGTCAAACAATACAGTACTACTGAACGTCTCCCCCAAAAAAACCCACAAAAGCTCTGAGCCACTTACAGAGCTACAGTTTTTGCAACAGGCAATTCAGACTGACTAAAAAAAACTAGGAAGAAGCATCAGAAGGAAGATGTCATTTTTTAAGTATATAAAACTGTGCTATTTAATCACTAAACAGAGACTAGTGCAGGACACAGAGCAGAAGAATCCAGAGTTTAATGCACTGCATTCAAACCCGAGTAAATTACTGAACTCTGCAAGACCTATGGAGATATCACACACGCCAGAGAGCAGTTCCAGTATTCCAGATTCAGGAGGTGTAATCGGAAATGATTTCTTAACTCACCTGTCAGTGTTCAAAATAAAAAGACATTGACAGTAACAAGCCTTTGGTTGAATAAGAAAGAAAAAAAAAAGGCTAAAAATGTTATCTTACTCGAAAATCATATAGCCTGAACATGGTTTCTTTCTTTTAAGACACTAACTTTAAGAGAGCAGTACTAGTTCAGTAATGTTCTTCCAATATCTAAATCTTACTTTTAACTTTCTACCAAGTTCCTGGAATATGGCAATAGATTCCCTCTCTTCTCCATAATTTTGAGGTTCTCTGTTGAAAGAAGGGCCTACACACACACACGCAAAGAGACCTATTAAAGGGAGGAAAAAGTTAGAAAGTATTTTGATTAGCAAATCTAGAAGTTCTTCCCTTTATGTCAGGCAAGCCTGAGAGATGAGCCCCAGGTGTCTTTTTCTGCACACACCACTTTCTCCTCCCTCACACACTGACACAGCACTGGAACACAGACTGTGAAGTGCCCAACACAGCAGCTATACCTTTATGAAATTCACCCATTTACTCTGTCACAGCACGTTGTGGAATCATTAGTCAGATTCTGACATCTGAAGTTTTGACAACTCAAGGCAGGAAACCTTTTCATGAGCTCAAGAAAGAGTTAAGAGACAGGCAGAACTTGCAGGAAAGACATTTTCCAGTTTGAAAGACATTTTCCAGTTTGAAAATTAAGTTAGCAAGCTTCATATTTATAAGACAAAACTCTTTGCCTGATCAAATTGCATTTTTCGTCAACAAGGATAGACTCAAATGGCAGATTTCTCAGTGTTTAACAACTCATTCAGAGAAAAAGATGTAAAGACTACACTCACGCTAAGTTAAGCTAGAGCATTTGCCATCACAACAAAAATAATCCTTTAATTACAACATTTGCTAGAGGGAAAAAATACTTAAAGACAGAAGAGAATGCCAGGGTGTTATTCCTTTAGTGGTATGTGATAATAAAGGAAGCAATATTTTTGTGCAGTGGTTATAAGCATATCATACACCCATTGCATTAATTGCTTGGTTTATTTTTTTTAAAGAAAGAACGCTTTGAGCTAACTGAAGTTTACTGGAATGCTGTGACAAGTGTTCTAAGAGGATACAGAAATGTCAACTCAAAAAAATCTTGAGAATATCATATTCCTGTTTTTTTTGGATTATCTTCACAAAATATTCTGTTAGGTATATAAAGGCAATAAAAAAAAAGGAAGAAAAAATGAAATTAAAATAAACCTCATACATGTAGTGGAACATATTACACTGTAAACAATGAATAGAGTAAGACAAAGTAGCCAGGCAGGGATGTGTCTGACAAGAAATGAGTTCTCTCTTTATCACCAACTGAAAATTTAAGAAGACCAAGGCAGTTTATTAATATGAAGGCAGCTGCAAGTTAGCTGGAAGATGTAAGAAGCAAAGGCAATGAAACATAGGCGGACAAGGGAGAAATCAGGGATTTTTTTTTTTTCCTGACTAAAAATACATGCAAGGCATGCACAGTTTTCGGAAGAGGCAAAACCTCTAGTATCCACAAGAGGCAACACCAAGTATTTCGAAAGTCTTCCTTAACTTACAGGTTCGCTCAGCTCCACAGTCGTATGTTTTCCTTCTCCATCCGAAAGCACGAAAAACTTCCCGGTGGGATGAATCTACAAAAGACATGAGGCCCATGCGCTCAAGAGGCAGCAGTACAAGTTACACGTTCAGCCGCCTCAACCAGAGCTGCGCAGCGGACCTTCCTCCCAAAGACCCCCACGTTACAGCCCACTCCCGCCCTCA